GAAGGACTGAAAGAGCTTCTCGAAAGTGCTGGACGTGATAATCATTGTTAGCACTATAAATCAGAATATCATCAAAGTAAACTACAACCAAATTTTTAGATAAATGGATGAAGAGCTTGATTCATAAACTGCATAAATGTACTAGGCTCATTAGAAAGACCGAATGGCATGACTAACCACTTCTACAACCCTTCTCTTGTCTTAAAGGCCATCTTCCACTCATCCCCAGGTCTGATACGAATCTGATGGTACCCACTCTTCAAATCGAGCTTACTGAACACACAAGCACCGATAAGTTGATCTAGCAAATCATCTAAGCGAGAAATAGAAAAACGGTAACGGATCATAATCTTATTAATCGCCCTACTGTCCACGCACATACGCCACGTCCCATCCTTTTTTGGTGTAAGGAGAGCAGGAACAACACAAGGACTAAGACTTTCTCTAATGTGCCCCTTCGCTAAAAGCTCTTGCACTTGTCTGTACAACTCCTCATGTTCAGTAGGACTCATCCTGTAATGCACCTGGTTTGGTAGAGTAGCATCAGGTACTAAATCAATCTAATGTTGAATATCCCGCAGTGGTGGCAGTTCCTTTGGAAGCTCGTCTGGGAAAACCTCTTGAAACTCTTCTAACAGTGGACGAATTCTGTGGGGAACCTCCTATTCAGTATCGACTGACTTGCCTAATAATATATACACTACACCAAATTTTGCCATCTTCGTCTCAAATTTTTCTCTGGTTAACAAGTTGGTACTGTCCCCAACTGTTTTTACTGGGCTCTTGTCGGGTAGTAACACAATTTTCTTTCTCCCAAACAGAAAATTGTACGTGTTGGTGTACCCGTCATGCAGCGAGTGTCGGTCAAGCTGCCAAGACCTCCCTAATAACAAATGGCATGCATCCATCTCCACCACATCACACAAAACTTGATCTTTGTAGGTAGGCCCAATGGAAAAGTTGACTAGAGCACGTTGGGATACCTTGACATCACAACCCTTCTTCAACCAAGCCAACTTATACGGTTTGGGAAGTTTCTCAGTCTGCAGACCCAGCTTCTCAACGACCTCCTCAGCAACCACATTCTCGCAAATCCTAGAGTCAATAACAAACTTGCAGATTCGTCCCCTAACGGTACACGTAGACTGGAAGATGTTATTATGCAACCAATCGCTCTTGTTGTCCAGGGGAGTTAAAAAACTCCGCCTCACCACCAATGTTTGCCCCACGTCACCAACAACTAACTCCTCCTCTTCTGCTGCTTTCTCATCATCTCCATTATCAAATATGGACGCCCCCTCATAATCTCCATACCCATCATCAACCAAGAGCCCTCTATGCGAATATTTTGGACACTCAGATTGCCTATGACCCGCACCTCCGCAAGCGAAGTAATAGATACCGCCCCTAGGACGCGCTGATGGCTGCATAAGATTTTCCTTAGAAGAACCAGCCTGGCTAAGATTACCAGGATGTGTTGTCGGCTGCTGTGGGTTACTGGAAGAACCCCCTGTGGTGAAAGTCCCTGTATTCCGTCTGGACTGCTGTTTCTCTATTTTTATCGCCCTTTGATGTGCCTCAAAAACTGTCACAGGATCAAACATGTTCAGTGTGTCCTGTATTTTGGGACGAAGACCACCTACATATCGCGACACCAATTTCCGTTTCCATCACTTCATTCCTAGTAATCAACATGTAAAATTCCGTCGTAAAGTCATCAACCGCCTTCATGCCTTGACGCAAATTCTGCAATCTCTAATACATGGTCCGAACATAGTTATAGGGCAGAAACTACTTCTTCATGTGCTTCTTTAGTTTATCCTAAGATGCAATCTTAACCTTCCATAATCGGGATCTCATCACTTTTATCTGCTACCACCACGCCACTACTCGTCCACGAAATCTCGTCGCAACGAGAGGCGCACATTTTCCAGCAGGAACCTCCTTAAATTCCAGAACCTCCTCCACTGCAGCCACCCAATCCAGGAATTCTTTTGGATTTAATCCACCATGGAACTCAGGAATATCAACCTTGAATCCTGATTCCCAGCGCCTGTTCTCCTCCCGGCCACCTCCTCTCCGTCGGACTAGCAGATCTATTGGATGATCAAGAGGCGCAAACGGATTTTCATCCTTGAAATCCTCAAGTGTGCAGCGATTTGCTAGGTCAACAACTCTACTTGTTGACGCAGCTGTGCGATTTCATCACGTCTATTCACCTTCTCTACTAGGGCTTCAAGGGCTGCTGGATGTCTCCTTGGCGGCATGGTGAAGGAACGAGCCTGGCTCTGATACTAACTGACTTAGCGAAAGTTATAGGGAAGATGAACAAATCTCACAAAGAAGAAAACTCACGAAAAGTTTTATTTCATTCAAATCAAATCTGTGGCCTCAAGAGGCTTACAACGTATTTATAGCAAAAACCTAGAAAATTCGGAAATAAATAATAATAAAAAAAGATTTTTTTGCAAAAATGGAAAAAATCAAGATAATGACGAAAATTGATAGTCCTGATCTTCAGGATTACTCTCCAACAAATGGAATGTAAATTCGAATTTATTTGATTGGGATATACTCACAATAAGAATTACAAAAAAAGGAAAAAATGTATAAACGAAGGAATTTGCCTGAAATTGGTCCTATGTTAAAAGCGAAGCCCCTGAGTTTAACTTTTCAGCCCGTTTCCAACTGAATTAGACTATAAATTCGTCAAAAACAGACAACTCCAAATTATTTTTTCTTGCGCCGATCCCACTTTGCCATGAAGTCCAATTCCTTTTGCACCACATTATTCCATCCCGGATGAGAAAAATTTGCCCTCGAATCTGGCGAAGAAATAACGTCATCATTAGAATTATCACCATGAAATGGCACCAGATGCTTGACATTAAAAACGTCAGGTGTGCGAATATGATTGGGCAGCTTTAACAATATGCATGCGGATTAATCTTCTCAATTCTCTCCAATGGACCAATTTTTCTTGCAGCAAGCTTGGTATATTCATGAGCAGGAATACGGTCCTTTCTCAACACCGCCCAAACAAAGTCACCAACCTCAAACTCAACATGACGATATTTAAGATCCGCATCATGTTTGTTCTTAGTAACAACCACTTGCAAATGATCAAAAGTCTGTGAATGAACCTGTTGCAACTGTTGAATGAAATCCTCCACTTTACCATGCATTTTAATAGTAGTAAAAGTTGGAACCAAATCAAGAGGACTACGAGGAACAAGACCATACACCACTTGAAAAGGACTAAAGCCTGTACTTCGGTAACTGTATGATTGTGAGCAAATTCGGCTTGACATAATTTTTGATCCCAAGACTTGACATGATCACCAACCAAACAACGCAGCAAATCACCCAAGGAATGGCTCACAACCTCTGTTTGACCATCTGTCTGAGGATGATATGCACTGCTGAAATCGAACCGTGTATTGACCAAACGCCATAAGCTGCGCCAAAAGTGACTAAGGAAGCCGTATCCCGATCAAACACAATAGAAATAGGAAGACCATGTAGACGATAAACCTCACGAAAATACAGTAGCGCCACATTGACAGCATCCGTAGTCTTCTTGCAGGGAATGAAATGGACCATCTTGGAAAAACGATCAACCACTACAAAAATAGAATCACATCCACGCTGAGTCCTAGGAAGTCCCAAGACTAAATCCATATTGATGTCCGTCTAAGGTTGGGTCGGAATAGGCAGGGGCATATACAAATAAACATTCGTCGCTTTCTCTTTAGCAAGATGACATGTTCGACAACGCTCTACGAACTTACCAACATCTTTGTGCAATGAAGGCCAAAAATAAGAAGCCATAACAAGCTGTAATGTTCGATCATGACGCACGTGGCCCTCATTATGCAACTCTTGAATTATCTTAAGCCGCAAACTGCCATTAGGAACACATAACTGATTTCCCCGAAAAAGAAACTCATCGACCCACACAAAGTCCGACTGCACACCCTCCTGCAACTTTCGAATAATCTGTGAAAAGTATGGATCGGTGGCATATAAATCGCAAATAGAGTCAAAACATGGGACCTCCACGCGCATTTTTGTCAAAAGAGTTTGTCGCCTACTTTATGCATCTGCCACCTTGTTAAGGGCACCTGCTTTGTGCTTAATTACAAAAGTAAATTGCTGCAAGTAGGCAACCCAAGAAGCATGTCGGGCAGACACCTTATCTTGAGTACCAAGGTGTTTAAGGGCATCATGGTCAGTATACAGAATTAACTCCTTCTAGAACAAATAATGACGCCAATGTCGAACCGTCTGAACTATCGCATAAAACTCCACATCATAAGTATTATATCGAGACTTAGGTCCAAAGAGTTTTTCACTGAAATGCGCAACAGGACGATTGTTCTGGCTCAGCATACCACCAATTTCCACCTTTGAAGCATCACATGTAGCTCAAATGGCTGAGTAACATCAGGCAACACCAAAATTGGTGCAGTTGTCAATTTCTGCTTAATGAACTGAAAGGATGCCTCTGCCTCGAGAGTCCACTGAAACTTATCATTTTTCATACAATCTATAATCGGCGCCATGATACTTTTGAAATGTGGTATGAACCTGCGGTAAAAGGAAGCAATGCCATGAAAACTTCACACTTCTATAATGGTCTTAGGTTGTGGCCACTGAGTGATTGCCTCTACTTTGGATGTATCAACTGCCAACCCCTCCTTCGACACCACATAACCCAGGAATACAACACGGTCTGTTAGAAAAGTATACTTCTTCACTGCAGCGTAAAACTCATCCCTGTGAAGGACTGAAAGAACTTCTCAAAGGTGTTGGACGTGATCATCATTGTTAGCACTATAAATCAAAATATCGTCAAACTAAACTACAATGAATTTTTTGATAAATGGACGAAGAGCTTGATTCATAACCCGCATAAAAGTACTAGGCTTATTGGAAAGACCGAATGGCATGACTAACCACTCGTACAACCCTTCTCTTGTCTTAAAGGCCGTCTTCCACTAATCCCCAGGTCTAATACGAATCTGATGGGACCCACTCTTCAAATCCAGCTTACTGAACACACAAGCACTGGTAAGCTGATCTAGCAAATCATCCAAGCGAGGAATAGGAAAAAGATAATGGACCGTAATCTTATTAATCGCCCTACTGTCCACGCACATACGCCACGTGCCATCCTTTTTTGGCGTAAGGAGAGAAAGAACAACACAAGGACTAAGACTTTCTCTAATGTGCCCCTTCGCAAAAAGCTCCTCCACTTGTCTGCGTAACTCCTCTTGTCCAGTAGGACTCATTCTGTAATGTGCCCGGTTAGGTAGAGTAGCATCAGGTACTAAATCAATCTGATGCTGAATATCTCGCAATGGTGGTAGTCCCTCTAGAAGCTCATCTAGGAAAACCTTCTGAAACTCTTCTAACAGTGGATGAATTCTGTGGGGAACCTCCTATTCAGTATCGACTGACCTGCCTACTAACACATACACTACACCAGATTTTGCCATCTCTGTCTCAGATTTTGCTCTGGTTAACAAGTTGGTACTGTCCCCAACTGCTTTTACTGGGCTCTTGTCGGGTAGTAACACAATTTTCTTTCCCTCAAACAGAAAACAGTACGTGTTGGTGTACCCGTCATGCAGCGGGTGTCGGTCAAACTGCCAGGACCTCTCTAATAACAAATGGCATGCATCCATCTCAACCACATCACACAAAACTTGATCTTTATAGGTAGGCCTAATGGAAAAGCTAACTAGAGCACGCTGGGATACCTCTGCATTACTACCCCTCTTCAACCAAGCCAACTTATACGGTTTGGGATGTTTCTCAATCTGCGGACCTAGCTTCTTAACGACCTCCTCAGCAACCACATTCTCACAACTCCTAGAGTCAATAACAAACTTGCAGATTCGTCCCCTAACAGTACACGTGGACTGGAAGGTGTTATTACGCAACCAGTCACTCTTGTTGTCTAGGGGAGTTAAAAAACTTCGCCTCACCATCAATGCTTGCCCCACGCCACCAACAACTAACTCCTCCTCTTTTGCTGCTTCCTCATCATCTCCATTATCAAATACGGTTGCCCCCTCATAATCTCCATACTCATCATCAACAAAGAGCCCTCTACGCGAGTTTTTTGGACACTCAGCTTGCCTATGACCCACACCTTCGCAAGCGAAGCAATGGGTACCACCCCCAGGACGTGTTGACGGCTGCACATGATTTGTCATAGAAGAACCAGCCTGGCTAAGATTACCAGGACGTGTTGCCTGCTGCTGTGGGTTACAGGAAGAACCCCTTACGAGGAAAGTCCATGTATTCCATCTGGACTGCTGTTTCTCTATCTGTATAGCTCTTTGATGTGTCTCAGAAATTGTCACAGGATCAAACATGTTCAGTGTGTCCTGTATTTGGGGGCGAAGACCACCTACATATCGTGACACCAATTGTTCCTCCGTTTCCATCACTTCATTCCTAGTAATCAACATGTAAAATTTCGTTGTATAGTCATCAACCGCCTTCATGCCTTGACGCAAATTCTGCAATTTCTGATACATGGTCCGAACATGGTTATAGGGTAGAAACTGCTTCTTCATGTGCTTCTTTAGTTTATCCCAAGATGCAATCTTTACCTTCCCTAATCGGAATCTTGTCACTTTTGTCTGTTGCCACCACGCCGCTGCTCGTCTACAAAATTTCGTTGCAATGAGAGGCACACATTTTCCAATAGAAATCTCCTTAAATTTCAGAACCTCCTCCACTGAAGTCACCTAATCCAGGAATTCTTCTGGACTTAATCCACCATGGAACTCAGGAATATCAACCTTGAATCCTGATTCCCAGTATCTGTTTTCATCCGGGCCACCTCCTCTCTGTCAGACTGGTAGATCTATTGGATGATCAAGATGCGCAAACAGATTTTCATCCTCGAAATCCTCAAGTGGTTGGGCCACAGGCACATGTTGCTGTGGCGCGAGTGCAGCAATTTGTTTGGTCAACAACTCCACTTGTTGACGCAGCTGTGCGATTTCATCACGTCTATTCACCTCCTCTACTGGGGCTTCACGGGCTGCTGGATGTCTCTTTGGCGGCATGGTGAAGGAACAAACCTGGCTCTGATACCAACTGACGTAGCGGGAGTTATAGGGAAGATGAACAAATCTCACAAAGAAGAAAACTCATGAAAAATTTTATTTCATTCAAATCAAATCTGCGGCCTCAAGAGGCTTACAACGTATTTATAGCAAAAACCTAGAAAATTCGGAAATTCAATAATAATAATAAAAGATTTTTTTTTTCCAAAAATGAAAAAAATCAAGATAATGACAGAAATTGATAGTCCTAATCTTCAGAATTACTCTCCAACAAATGGAATGTAAATCCGAATTTATTTGATTGAGATATACTCAAAATAAGAATTACCAAAAAAGGAAAAAAGGCCTAAACGAAGGAATTTGCCCGAAATTGGTCCTACGTCAAACGCGAAGCCTTTGCGTTCAACTTTTTAGCCCGTTTCCAACCGAATTAGACAACAAATTCGTCAAAAACAGACAACTACAAAATTTCTCCAAATTATTTTTTCTTGCGCCGATCCCACTTTGCCATGAAATCCAGTTCCTTTTGCACTACATCACTATCATGTCGCCCTTTGAATTTGTTGCAAATTGTTCGCGACATATATACATTGCGATGATATTATGGCTACAAATATTATGTTGCTATTTTGTATTTTCTGCATTTAACAAATAGTGCTGCAATTTTGTTAATGCGATTTTGAGACAAAATTTTTTTGTTATCACGATATGTTATCTTTTGTAGTGTAAGAATAGCCCACAGCACTTGAGGAAGTTTATCTACCTATGCCCCTTTTGAGGTAAGCTTCTTCTTCAAGGTATACTTGATAGTTTTGTTGATGACTTCAACTTGACCATTTGCTTGAGGGTGGTGAGGTGTTGAAAAATGCTTCTTGATCCTCTAGCTTTTTGCATAGGTCTCTGATCTTCTTGTTGTCGAGCCGATAGTTTTATTTTATGAGTAATGGCCTAATAATGTCTTGCATATATTCAATAAATGACTCCGCTTAAGCCATTATGTGTATGGACATAAGCAATTGAACGTTCAATGACAAGTTTAATTTTCATATGATACTCATCAAATACTTGTGATCTAAAGTCAATAACATTATCAAGATGAATTGTATTGATTGAGTAATTAGGATATTGAGCTCATAATTTAATGATCTGAGTAAGAGTCTAGAAAAAGTTACATTCTAGTGGAATTGATAAAAGAATCAATTAAGACTATAAAATAACAAAATGATCTACAGAGTAGGTGTATCGACCTACGGGTTAAAAGTTTTAATGACTATTGAACTTTGTATAATATTTTCCATTGACTACTAAACTTTAAAAGTTTTTCATATGGTCAACGAACTTCTCATTGGCCATTTAACTTAAACAAATTTTTGGAATGGTCACCGAACGTACTGAATTATTATCTCATCTAGCAGTCAGTAACTCACCATTAAAAAATTCTGCATAATTGTTGATGTGGCAAATAAAAACTCTGATGCTGCACATTATTATTGTTATTGGAGGACAAATTAGTCAAAAATGCGCTTATAAAATATGTGATAAATGAAAAAAGAAATATAAAAATAATACAAAATGAAAATACAGACTAAAAAAAGGAGAAGTTTAAAATTCAATCGAATTTTTATAAGTGAGTTTAATAGATTAAAGAGCTTTTTTTTGCTGATACTAATTTTCTAATGTTGAGTTATTAAGTGGTGTATAGGATAACGATTTGATAAGTTCAATAATTGTTTGAAAAAATTTTAAAGTTTAATGGACTATGGGGTGACTATTTGATAAGTTCTACGATCATCCAAATTTTTTTTTAAGTTTAATGGCAAAAAAAAAAAAAAAAATCATTTTAAGAATTTCAGTGACTATCCAAAAAAGATTCAAGTTTAATGGCCCCAATGAAAAATATTATAAAAAGTTCAATCACCATTTAGATTTTTAACCCATCAGCTAACATATATCACCACGAAAACATTTCAAGGAAATTAGAGATTCAATGTTAACCTTTGTAATGGAAGGTCACATGACTAATTTGTCCTGCGAACAAACAACTCATAGAAAATCATTAGGTAAAAAAAATCTTCTAATTATTTAGAGGATGTTCATGTGAGTAGTTAATTAATCGGTGCAACATAATTACTTTTGGGTGTCTAAATGGATCATGCCAATGTATAAGATTTGTGGGTCAACAAACTTTTGATTCATGATAATGTTTGATTCAATCACTTTTTTTTTTCTTTTTTCCAGATACAAAAGAAGTTATACAAAAATATTCAACATTATTTTTGTGCATCGTCTCAATATGATATCTATTGCAATAGATAGCTGTAAAATTAGGTAAATTTCTTATGGATTTGCAAGAATAAAGTGTATCATAATTTAGCCCTTGTTTGGTGAAAATTAAAATAAAAAATTTAATAAGTCAAGTCAACAACTAATTTTAACCATATATTTTATGTGACACACAATTTTTTAACCATATATTTCATTAATTTCTATCAAAATTTACTAAAAATTTTATTTTAATCCTAATCAAACGTGGACTTGAAATTATTTCATAAAATAATACTAGTTCTTTCGTAACCTTGAATGATAGTTGATGCACCTAATTCCATATATTATTGTCTACTAATGTTAAGTCTAAAAATTGCTTTTAGTCTTGGATAGTGTCCTTAGTTGTACTACTAACTAGATAAGTATCTTGACAATTCATCTTGAATCTATAAACATGAACTAATTGATCTTTTAAAAATTGAGTTTTATGATCAAAAGGATTAAGCAATAATTCAATCAACTAGAAATAATTTAACAATGCAAAGTCTCAAAATTTAAGAAAAATAAGAAAAACATAATTCAAATTAAACATCTAAATCTAAATGAAATGCTAAGAAATTAAAAATAAACAAATCAATATTATCAAACACCCCTCCGATCAAATGATCAATATGTTCATTTGGATCAGGCAAAAAATTAGAGACGTCATGAGTCACATCAATTAGACAATCAAAATCAATAAAATTTATCTCCACTTTTCTTTCTCATTTGATTGATTTTTGGTAGATATCGACAAGATGCTTTGCCATACGATAGGTATACCTAATGTCTTTTCATTCCACATCTAAAATAATTTTTCTTAGTTCTCCTTTTTGGATGAGTTGTTTTCATTTGCTTTATGCTTCTTAAAACTATTGTCCTTTTGCTGATTTTTTCATACACTCTTACACGTCAACGTTAATACATGAATGCATTTGTTTCAGTAAATGTTAGAGAACCAGTTGAATGTAACCCATGATGGTTCATCAACAATTTATTGTTTTGTTCCGCTAAAGAAGACAAGATATAAGTTTCGAGTATTTTTTGAAATCATGTTTGCGATATTACTACGGAGCATATTCGAGATATGAAAAGTAGAGAAAGTTTTTTCCAACATATTTTATTAGTGAATTTTTCTCTAGACTTAAGTTTGAACATAGAAGAGTTGTACAACTCACTAATAGTTTAAAGTCTTGTAAACGAAGGTATATCCATTCATAGCAAGCTTTGTCTACATTCGTTCGACGATTAAATATTTCCATCAAGTTTTTCTAAAGAATCATTATATCCTTCAAGGTGAGCATTCTGTTTTTAATCCATCATGGATATGGTAATGAAGATAAAAATTGTTTTTGCACGACCTTATATGAATTCTTTATTTTTTTCTTTTTATTGTCTTTTCTAGACCCTTCAAGATAAGATGACTTTTAAAATTGAGAGTCTATGACAAATATTTTTTTCCAGATAAATCAAATGCAACAAATTCAAGTTATATGATGTTCATCATTTGAATAACTATACCATAACACAAAAGATATAACAAAAAATATGATTAACTATGACATGAGCAACTGAATGTTCAATGACAATCTTAATTGACAAAAATACTATTTGAAGGCATGTGTGAAGAGGAATATCAAGATGAATTATCTTGATTTAGTAATCGGGAAATTGAGCAAGTAGAGTAACAAAAGTTACATTTATAGTGAAAAGTAAGTAGACATAAAACCATCTCGTAGAAGAATCCATTAAAATTATGGAATAACCAAATGATCCATAAGATAGGTGTATCGGCCCACATATATATCTTTGAAAATTATTTTCAGTAAAGTTGAAGATTCATTATTGAACTTTATAGTAGATTTGGTGACTAACCTACTCTGCAAACAAACAACACATGGATAATGATTGGGTGAAAGAAACTTCATGTTCTCTACGTGATGTCCTTGTTAATTATTTGGAGCATTATTGCTTGTGGTGTCCAAATCATGACAAAGTATAAAATTTTTTGGATTAACAAACTTCGAGTTCGTGATAATATTTGATTCAATCATCTTTATGAATGTATAATACATGTTAGAAGAGATTGTTTAAAGTTTTTATTTTATCTGCTTTTGGCCGCATACAGATTTTTTTTTCCCAAATATATTCAATGTTATATTCTTGCATCTTTTAAATGTTGGATTCATTGCATCAGATTCCTTTAAAACTAATCAAATTTATTTTGAATTTGTTGAAATAAAGTGTATCGTTAATATATAATAATGTAGAAAATAATACTATTTCTTTTGGAGCGTTCAATGATATTCAATGTATTTGATACTTGTTAATATTATTTTTTGCTAACGTTTATTCCAAAAAAAATAATTTTTACCTCGAAGAATAGTATTGCCCTATCAACTAAACATATATCTTGACAATTCATTCTGAATCTATTCTTGCAAAAGACATAATGCATTTTGGAAAAATATGATTAAAAATAATATAATTACATAAGAATCAAGTCCACATGACATGAGTTATATGTTTCTCTTCAGGGATAACATTAGTTTATAAATTATACACATGATATATTTTTCGAGACATGTTCTTCTTTGAAAGTACCATTAATTTTTATTTTTATTTTGTTTGAAAAATTATATTACATTTTACTATCACTTCTTCAAGAAAATAGATGAACATTCTTCTGAAATAAT